GTGTTGAAGACTCTGCTCACTACTTGAATTATACGCTCATGGGACAAGATGTAAAGTGACGAAACCCGCACGAAATTATAACTTACCCATTGGAACACTTAAGTGATTTAACTATTTCTTTTTCGGAATAAGTAATAAGTTACACATACATGTACTCCTAAGATCGACAAACAAGTAGGAAGGAATACTTGTAGTTGACTTTCGCTTTTCACTTTAAGTTCACTTCTTTTCTTTTGAGATGAAATTTGTTTTTATTTTTTGATTCACGGTTGATTTGAGAAGAGCACACGTGTTGGTACTTCATATAAAATTCATGTTGATATTTGGCTATCTATAAATCTTATTAGAATTTAAGATATAATTATTTATCTCATTTTATTATCGGTTTAATTAAAACTGAAATGAAATTCAAATGAATTGTTGTGAGTGTAAAGTGTGGTAAAGAGAAAAGAAAGTGAAAATTTTTGTTTCAAAGGTTTGAAATGTTAATTTATGAGTATAATCATATGTGTTATTAGTTATTATGTTGTGACTTAATGACTAGGTAATTATTATGTTGTAATAATGATTTATTTGCGATCTTACTTTTAACACTTTAATAATTACTTGACGCGCAGAGAAAATAAACTTGTTCATTTTATTTTCTTGTTAAAAATTGATATTAAAATTTAAAAAATTGAGAAATTGATTTTTGAGATGCAATATTAATGTGTAAACATGGTTGGCATAAATATGTAGCCATTTATACAGCTTTTAAATATTTTTTATTTGTTTAAGATGTCAAATACTTAAAAATTTTATAAATTCTAAATTATAGCCCAAATAAACATTTTATATTATATAAATAATGCGTAACTTGTAGGTGTAAATAATAATTAGTAAATAATTACTTTAAAACAAAATTAACAACGTCTCTATACTATATTAGTTATGTTTTAGTTAAATTTTTATTCATGAGCTTAATATATTCTGTATTATTGCCTAACATATTACAAAAATTTACAGTTAATGCATGTTTTAAGTTTTAGAACTAGTATTTATTTAGAGTAGCATAAAATAGGCAAATTTGATATTGTTCTTGGAATTGAATTCGACAGGGTGAGATATTGTCAAGTGAGTGTGGTGTTCTAATTCATGTGAAATTAAACAAATGAAATTATTTTTGAAAGCATACATTTACGGTAATTGTTTGGTCTTTTGCAGACATATTATTACGCAAGTCTACATAACTGCATATTGCTAGACCAGGCGCTCGAGTTTTAATTAATTTTTTGGTACAAAAGTTATTAAGAAATTAAGAAATCATCTAAGTAAATGAGAATATGGCTACGGAAATAAACAGGAAAGTTTAGTATATAGTATTTAGTGCATTCTAACTTGTAAAATTCTATAAAATTATTGTTTGTGTTTGACTATGAAAAACCAAGCAAACCATATTAGTAAAAGTGTCATTTTCTTAACTTCATTATCGTACTCGAATAAAAGTTCATAGCTGGAGTTTAGTAACAAATACAGAAATAAGCATGACGACTTCGTTTAAACTCACTAAAATTTTATTTTTATTTTAGGAAATGTGTAACAGGAAATACAAAACTCCCTTTTCTTATTATAAGAGTAGTTTCGAAAAACAACAGCGCAGGAATAAAAATATAATTTGAAAGTGTTTAGAATTACTACACGTATACGAATAAACCAACAATTATTTTAAAAGCATCTATTAGGTCCTAAATATTATAATCCCTACTAATATTATAAATGCGAAAGTCCTGATGTTTGTTACACTTTCACGCAAAAACTACTTAACCGATCATCATGAAAATTTGTACACATATTCTTAGTGGTCCCCAAATGGTTATAGGCTACTTTTTATTTAATAAAAAGATTATTTTTTAAATAAAATAAAGAAATAGTTTAGCCAATAATACCTCTGCATCTGGCTATTTGACTACTTTAACGCCATCTAGCATTCCAGCAATGAAGCTCAAACCTAAGTACTATAGTACCATCACACTGTATTATCACACTGTATTACCGACAGCTACGTCAACATCAAATCCAATTGACTACACTATGGAGACTATACACTATACTTCCATAGACTATACTTTCAGCCATTTTAAACTTCCCGCCATTCTACTTCATTGTTACTTCTTCTGTGACTACAGACGCGTACGGAAGCAACTGTATTATTTTTGATATTCGCGAGCGAAGCCGCGGATTAAAGCTAGTAATATATATTCCTAAATATAAAAAAAAAAATTTAAAAAAGAAACATCATACCCATTATGGTAATATTTATAACATTTAGTAATGTGATACTCTGACATAATTCAATATAAATATTAATACTATAACATTAAAAGTGCGTTACGTTTAGAAAACGCTGGGTTATTGTACAATACTGGTTATAGAATTGAATAAAACCAAGAAATGATTCGGTAACGACTAAAAATGTGAAACAATGAAACAAAAAACAAAAGAAATCTAAAAGACCACACCATAGTTGTACTTCTACAGTCTACTCCTATAGCCAGCAGCAAAAATTAAGTCAAATCAAAGCATAAACGCTCAGTTTACGCATCTTTATGAATATTCATAACTTAATTATTTCATTCAACAACTTACGAAACAAATGTCTTTAAACTGTGCATAAAAATGCGTGGAAAGAAAGGTTGAACTTTGAAGACAACCCAACAAAGTGTTTGATAACATTATTATTTTATTATACAAATGAATAATAAGAATAATAATGAATATGTATTTTCCTGTTGTTAGTTTAGTTATTTAAGATTTAAAATTGAATATTTTGAGAATGTTAAGATGTGGGCATGGCATGATGCCACGATGGCTTTCGTAGCAAAATTATGTCGCTTATTATTTTATTGGTGTTATTTAACCGCGCAGCGTGCTCTTCGAATATGCTATTAGCAAACACCAATGCGTTTTTTTTTTCTCTACTCCAGCTAGTATACGATAGACTCAATTGCAAGCGAGACTCGGCTGAAGACAGAAGACGAAAAGGCGTTGATGTCGAAAACGCAAGCGGGATCGTGGACGAGACGAATATGATGAAGGCAAATGGTAGATGTGAAAGTACAAAAGTTTCTGGTTGCTAAATTTATGTTTTGATAAAGGGCAAACAAAAATATCGACAATATTGCCAAACATTACATTCAAATTTGGTAATAAACATCTTAGCACTTCAAATTTTCTTATAACAATAATTATTTATTTATTTTTTACACTTACACTAAAAATGTGTTTATTTTTGAATGATTTAGTTATCAATTAGAGTAGTTAAGAGTATTTTCTTCATTATTTCTTATACGTGCTTTCTGCTGAGCAAAAAAATAAAAATTAATTAAATTTTAACTAAAAAACTACTGAAAAATATAAACAAACAAACAATTTTCATACTTTGTTGATGAATATAAACAAATTTTCTTTAACAAATAGTTACATAACTGTTTTAAGTGAATTAAGCTGTCATAATTACGGTTTATTAGTGAATTTGCATGCATCACACACTTTATTAACTTTTAATTTAATCTTTTTCACAGTTTACTCACAGTTTACTTTAACACTGTTCTGATAATATTATAATAAACTAGCTGTTGCCCGCGACTTCGTTCCGGCAGTGTTTAATAAAAATCTAATTCGTTTTTACTCTCTTGTTCTAGACATACTCGTAGTAAGAGTCAATTCTATCAATAAGATTAGCAATTTTAATTTAAAGAAATTATGCATATAAAGTTTTGTCAATAATGCACTTCAGCGCGCCATCTCGAATTCAACTATTTAACTATAACTATGATTGAATCTCAATGTCAAATTTTATTCTATAGAAAAGAGCTGTTTTGAGGATTTTCCCGGCAATTATTCGAATTTTTCTCACCTTTTAAACCTTCCCTAGACCTCCACGAATAATTCAAGACCAAGATAAGATAAATCCGTTCAGCCGTTCTCGAGTTTTAGCGAGACTAACGAACAGCAATTCATTTATATATATATAGATTTAAAAAAAAAATTGAATGTACTTTTGCAATCAAATTTTCATAACCGCTCGTTGTTAATATAAAATGATAAAATTTATTCACAATTATTGAAATATTTGAAAGGTGCATCAATGTTGCGACCTCATTGATTGAGTAATTTACCCAATTGCAAACCTACAATTTTTATTTTACTAAGGTTCCCCATTACGAATTGAAAATAAACTTAAACATATTATTATGCATTTATCGTATTTATAAACAAGTTTTATCGAAGTTTCGGTTATGTTGCCGCAACTCCACTATAAAAATAATCAATTCAATTGCACATAAATTAAATGTTTCTCGTTAAACTTTTAAGTTTTTAGAATGTCTGAAAAGCCCCAATCGGCCGACACTAACTAAACGATTGCTACTCGCTAGTGAGTCGACATTGGGCAATCCACATGCACTTTTCCTCCAAAATAAAAATTCATTACTTTCAATACCAAGTGTTTGCATCCAAGCATCAAATGTTATATAACGTTGATTTTAAAATTATTAGTTTATTCATAGGTATGCGTGGTGGGTAAGTCTGCGCAGAGCTAATGTGTGAAGCAAAGTGCTCATTAACCATTTCGTCAATTAAAAACCACGGTGAGACGAGCGCAATGTGTAATTAACATACGCTGAACTTTATCGGCGTAAATGCAAACGCAATTTTCAATTTTTGTTGTTTTTGCGTTGCGTTTGACTGAAAATTCAATTCGAGTGTTAGTTTTACCTCATTACATGATGATTAATTGATGAAGACGATGAGCCAACTGAAGAAGCAAAGTGATAGTTGTTTGTGAGGTTAATTTCTAAGTAAATATAGGCAACCAAGCATACGCACATGCAATAAAAAAAGAATATTATTTGAAAAGAAAACTATTTTCTGATTTTTGGTGCAACGCAAGTACGTGAACTTGCCAATTTCTTATCACCATGACTTTATATTTCGTAATCGTAATTATTGAGTAGGTAGATGAAAAAATCAATAAATATCGCGTGAGTCACATGAGTTTTCATATGTTTTGAAAATGAAGTTGCTAGTCGCATGTTTCGTTTTTTGCACTGTTTTGCAGGTGTATGGTCAACATCCAAGTAAGTAACAGTTAATTAATTAATTAATTAATTATTTTGTTATACTAAATGATTACTTTTCAGAACGTGGAACACCTTGTAATACGAATGGAGCTAAAGATATTTTTAAAGACTCTTGTGAATCTTGTATATGCCTAAAAGGTGTATGGGAGTGCAATCCTTTACGCTGTGTCGAACATAACGAATGTCCTGATGAAGGACCTGATTTAGCACTAGATAACATAGGATGCAATAGATGTAGGCCAAGTAAAGCTGGTTGGGCTTGCACCATGGTGTGGTGTTCTTCTGGCTGTCCCTGTCCGCAAAATATGCCTAAAATTTTTGAATGTTAAACATTAGTATATGATGTAATATTTTCTTTGAGAAATATAAACAAAAACTCTGCAATTTTCAACCGGTCGTCACCAAAATTCACAAATTCAAGCGAAAAGATGCATCAATTAATGATTTTAACCCTACTAATATTATAAATGCGAAATTCCGGATGTTTGTTACACTTTCACGCAAAAACTACTTAACCGATCATCATGAAAATTTGTACACATATTCTTAGTGGTCCCCGAATGGTTATAGGCTACTTTTTATTTAATAAAAAAATTATTTTTTAAATAAAATAAAGAAATTGTTTAGCCAATAATACCTCTGCATCTGGCTATTTGACTACTTTAGCGCCATCTAGCATTCCAGCAATGAAGCTCAAACCTAAGTACTATAGTACCATCACACTGTATTATCACACTGTATTACCGACAGCTACGTCAACATCAAATCCAATTGACTACACTATGGAGACTGTACACTATACTTCCATAGACTATACTTTCAGCCATTTTAAACTTCCCGCCATTCTACTTCAATGTTACTTCTTCTGTGACTACAGACGAGTACGGAAGCAACTTCATTATTTTAGATATTCGCGAGCGAAGCCGCGGGTTAAAGCTAGTAGTTAAATATAATCTGTTAAAGAAAATAGAATATTAAGTCACAAGTGCGCTAAACGGCGTTTTAGATACGAGTTTAACATTTTTAATAAATTGAGCGCATAATACATTTTATGTATGACAAATTCCTTGTATTTGTAAAGAATTAAACCATTTGCAAAAGGAAAACTTGAAAAAACACGGAGTTGAACGATTTTTTGTCGGTTTGTTTTCGTTTCACGTCTAAACCACTCAACCAATTTTAATAAATTTTGGTACAGATATAAATTAGACTCTGGAACAAGACATAAGCTACTTTTTGTTGCTAAAAGTAAACTATAAAAAATTAAATTAGGCAATAAAATTTGTGTGCATTACTGGACAAATTTCTTTTATATAAATTCGCATCGAATTGTATCTTTAGCTGTTCGACACGTGAACATAACTCAAATCTAGTTATTTTTTTACTATTAAGTTATAGCGCTAACTTGAATTGAGCTAATATAACACAATCAGCAATTACTAGATATTCGCGAGCGAAGCTGCAAGTTAAAGCTAGTAAAGCCTACTATATATAAGTATACGAAACGTGGAATCTCCAGCTATAAGATTTTTCGTTTTTTTGTCGACGTTTTACTCGTTGTACGTAACGTGTTTAATTGTTTTTTTTCTTCTATTTTTCTATCTCCGCTGTGGGGCTTCGAAACCTCTTATAAAACTAGGTAATAAATAAAACAAAAAATTAGTTGTTAATTATTTAAATAAAAACAAATGCAAGTACACACATCGAAATGTCAAACCACAAGATCACCACGACCACAACATTTACTTTTCACATCACTCATCAAACGTCCTTAAACGCTGTAATCTGCAAAAGTATTTGAAAAATGTATAATTCAAATTAATCATAATTCCCATCACCATGTGCGCTGCGTCGACCCAATTCTCTAATTAATAAATTGGAAATAAAACTCAAGGTGTCGCCATATCAGCATCGACGTATATTATTTAATTAAATTTTGCATATCTGGATGCGAGATGAACACAGCGCACAGCTCCAAAAACAAATTACGCTTGTCAGTAGTTGCGGCGACCTTTGGCGGTGATTAACACAGCGTAAATTAAATTAGACATTAGAGACGCGTGTTTGATGTGAGTCTGATGTCGTGTTGTGTGTTCGCCTTCGGACGCGTGTGTTCGCAACGTGTGGGTTGTGGGTGATTTGTGATTTGTTGAATCTGTTGATTTTGATTTAGCGCTCGCCGCGTGTCAAGAATGCGATCGTGTGCGTCCTCAAGGCGGCGATACGTCTTCTAATCACTGCTCAATGTTTGAAAATCTCCAAATCGAAGGAAATTCACAGCGGTCGGTGATTAATTATAGCTGCGATTAATGAAATGATTTGTAAAACAAACAAAATGTCGAAATTTACATGCGATTTCATGTTTTGTCACACGCCAGGTGATAATTTATTAATTGTGAAAAGCCACACGTACAACACATCGTTAAAAACCTAGTTTATTGATATAGTTTTGCTTTGAGGTTAGAATTACACCTTGAAATTGTTAATATAAGTTTATTTATTTATTATATACAAATTTTTACTTGAAAATATTGATTTATAAACAATTCTTTCGTTTTAGAGTTTGAAATTCCCGCGCGTGGCTTTGCAATGCATTATGGGTACTGTTTCACAAATCCTAACCTCCAAATAAGTAGTGTATCGAAATAGTCAAGTTTAGTTTGTTTCAACTGTGTGTGAATGAATTATTTTGCGTTATTACAATCAGATTAGTGAAAAACATAATCTACAAGTAAGTATTTGCAGTAAACAATATACTAACATTATATATTTCTGATTTTGTGTGTTTTTTTAGGGAAAATCAGTGATATATACCTAATAATGAATTTTCACCGAACGTAGAGAATCAAAGAATCGTTAAAAGGAACTGTAAACACAAAATAAGTATTTGTAGATATTTAGTTGGTCCTATAAGGTAATTTAACGCAATATAAATTACTTTTTTTACTAAATGAGTTGTGTACTTGAGCAAATCATTTTGTGTGAATTTGGTTGCCTACATATCTCCAACACACTATAAAAACCGTGTTAATATTACTCAAATAGCAGTAACTTTTAAAATTTGATGTTTATCTAAACTTAGAGACTATAACTAATTACTCGAACAACTTTGGTAATTTTAGCAAGCATTGCAAAAAATCGCGTGCAATTTGTTCCATTGTGTTTGATTTGGTGCTGAAACAGACGAAAATGAAATTCAAGTCCGCACACGCATTGGACAATCCGTCCGCAATCGCGTGCTTTACGCGACTCTACGCCAAAACCCGTCGACGATTTCTTACACAATTACATCGCTAATTACAGCGACGATTCGTCATTGTCGGTATGGCCGATGGCACGCTGGTCGCTTAGTTATCGAGCGTGCAAATCGGCTTTTGTTCGCCGTTCGGTTCCGCAATGATTCCAGAAAACGCTCGCAAATCGACAAATATTACTAATGTAAGCAAGTGTAACAACTTACACAAAATGTAATATCAAATGTAACGCTAAAGACACCGATACGAATTACTGATTATACAATAATCTATAAAATGACAAAATGTGACTGTTTGATTAATGTTACAATGCGAGTAATGAGAAAAAATTCGGTGAAGCTTTACGAAATTGTTTACTTCACGTTTTTTGTATGTTTTGACTGTAACAGACTGAAATAATTAGAACAGTGCACAATTATGCAAGATTATATGTTCGACAAGTGGTTATAAATCAACAAAATGCTAAAAATGATATGTGAATGCATAAAATTAGCGTAATTAATTGTGTTTAGATAAATTCGTCTAGTTTCGCTCGTAAATCTTCAATAAATTACTCAAAAACATACAAATTACTTGATAAACATTAAACAGATCATTAAACATATAATTAAAGTAATTTTACCACATGTTTAGACATTATTTGATACAAAATGTAATTTTTGTTCTTTTTAGCGCATAATTTGTTTGTTTTGGTGAATTTCCTAAACTTTATGCGATAAATTAAGTTTGTTTAAAATCGATAAAACTTCATTCATGATTCGCTCGTTTGCTGATCGTTGAGGACTCTGACACTGACGACCGCAGCATGAAATAAAAATGAATTAAACACGTTGCGAACAAAGAGTAAAACGACGACAAAAAAGCGAAAAATCTTGTCGCCGGAGATTCCACGTTTCGTGTACGACTAGTTTGGGCCAGCGGCGCGCTTCGCTTGACGACAAGATTTTTATCTCGTTGAATATTGCTAATCGTGTTCATAAATTCTGCCGAAATTCCACTTTGCATTTTCATACACGCGGCGAACCATAATGTTCCCAACTATTCGCGATTCACAAGAGTTGAATCAGTTAAAGATCAAAACATTAAGTTTTACGCGAATACAGCGAATAAAAAATTTGTGTGATTAAATTTTGATTAGGTATCATAATAGGAAATTATTAAAATTAATTTAAGCATTTATAATATTAATTGCTAGCTTTTACGCACGGTTTTGTGAGTGTTGATACTTTTTTTTATTGGTTTCCAGGGATTTAAAACTTGTAATATTCAAATGTTGCCTAATTTTCAAAACATTAATACATTATAGTACATTAAGTGTACACGTGCGCTAAACGGCATTTTAGTCACGAGATTTATTAAATTCGAGCGCAGCGAGCCAAAATTAAAGATTAAAATTAAAGCGACGCGCAGCAAAATCTCCTTTTATTTTTGATCCTGCACCAACCTCTTTCTAGTTATATTTTTGCGGCAAGAAATAGTCAACGTTATTATTCTCTTAGGTGCAAAATATCTCTGTAGCAAAATTTATCAAAATTAGTTCAGTGGTTTTTGTGTTGTGGCGTCACAAAGATACATAACGTTGTGTTTAAATTCGCATTTAAAATATTAGTTGGTATGAGGCTTAGAATTATTATGGTATAATACAAAAAGTAGTTGAAAAGTTTTCACAATGTTTTTAACACTTAAATAAACGCTCAACGAATGTTAAAACTTTTTTTTCCGGCTGCAATACAAATACGTGACCATGCCAATTTGTTATCGCCATGACTACATACTTCGTAATCTTAATTATTGAGTAGGTGGTTAAAAATACATTAAATACCGCGATAGTCGCGAGAGTTCTCATATTTTTCGAAAATGCGTCTGCTAGTCGCATGTCTCGTGCTTTGCATCGTTATGCAGGTGTATGGTCAACAACCCAGTAAGTAACAATGTATTACATATTTTGATTAGATTAATTATTTCATCATTCCGTTGCTATAAATGATTACTTTTTAGTGCGTGGAACACCATGTGATACGCCTGAAAAAAAAGAGATTTTTACAGAGTCCTGCGAATCTTGCTTGTGCCTAAATGGTGTGTGGGAGTGCAATCCTTTACGTTGTGTTGCACAGAATGAATGTCCTGATGAAGGACCTGATTTAGCACTGGATGCGAAAGGATGCAACATTTGTTGGCCAGGTGCGCCTGGTTGGGTCTGCACGCGGATGAATTGCAAAAGTGAATGTCCTTGCCCGCAAAATATGCCTAAAGTTTATGATTGTTGAACATAAGTACTAAATAAAAATGTACTAAATATACATGTAAAATTAATACTAATTAACCTCATAAAAATTAAAATTACGGTAGTTATTGGTATTAAAAATATTATCTTAATAATAATATACAGGCGAATGTGAGTATGCTGTTTGTTTGACGCTTTCACGGAAAGATTGTTTAATCAATTTTGTTAAATTTTGGTGTAGAGATAGTTTTGATGAAGGAAAAACAAATAGGCTATATTTTGTTGTCAAAATTTGATACTTTTTAGATTAATATGAAGAATTCTATTGGTCAAGTAGGTACATAACAGATATAAGAAATAAAAACGCAAATAAATTGTTTTTGTTTATTTTACTTTTTATTGAAAACGCCAAAATGCAAAGGGTAATAAAATGTTTCTTATTACAAAATGATAATTTATTAAATTTTGGATAAATATTACTTTAAATCGTATAATGATTTGGTTTTTGACTTGTGTTTTTCAGTCATCATAAAAACAATATTAATTTGACGCAAATTTAAATTTTACTTTCATTAGAAATTAATTAATAACAATAAACCGAATTAAAATAAATAAATTTCTTCTTTATTCATAAATTAAATGTTAAAGTTGTTGGTTTTTATTAAAATTACCTGACGACTATGACAACTAATCATTATCAATCAGTAACAATTAGCAAAAAAAGCAAAATTTTGATATTTTTTCTTCTTTTACGAGATTCTCAAGACATATTAAAATTTATATACATTTGATTTTTACTCTATGCAAATATATATAATTAAATTGTAAATTATTGCAATTTAAATAATGATTAATATTGACAATCTATTTTTTACGTTTTCCTTAATTCAAAACTAGTTTAACGAGATTGCATACAATATCGCACAAAAAGTTCATCATTAAATAATAAAGACGATCATATATGACAAAATCAACATAAAAAACACTTACATAACACTCAAAAAGAACTGAATTAAAATTATTAGCAATCAAATCAATATTTATACAAAAATATTAAAGTTTCCAATAAATTATGCACGAAACAATAAACAATACAACAATAAAATAAAATCGAAATTGGTAATTAAAAACGTCTTCCCACGCAATTACTTACATTGATCATGGATTTTATGACTTCTTTAATTTCGTGAGCATTCACTTTTGCCACGTTTTACTCGATAAATAAATTAAGCTGCGTTTAAAAGTGTGTTGGTTTTTACACGGTGATGGTGCGCTTGTCGCTTTGCAGGTTTGTAATTACGCTACGCGCATAATGAAGAATAATTTATGGTTTGGGCAAATGCTAGCGCAAAATTAAAACTGTCAAAAAATCGATGCTTGCGAAACCTGCGCGCAAAAACACACACAGCGCCGTTTATACTTGTTGCAGTTATATTATATAATGCAGCGAGCGTGTAATTTGTATATTTGTATATTGCACATTTGCATACTCAACTTTTGCTAATGTAATGAAATTAAAATTTTACAGGTGTAAGAATGGTATTAAATTTAGAAATTATTATAATGTATCAAAGTAAATAACTTGATATTTTGCAAAATGGATGAATTTCGCTGTTAATTTCTTTTTAACTCGCACATGCAAGCACAACATGCTCCAAGCCCCACCCCACGACTAAAGTCATGACTAAAGTCATGACTAAAGTACTTTATATACACTTTTCGCGCATTTACATATAGGCCGGACAATAAACGCGCAAATAGTAAATAACATTACTATAGTGATTATTAAACTCAATTAAATAGTCGGTCGAGTGTTGATTAAATATAATACAAACAATACGAGTACGTAAAATTAAATGAAAAATTAATGAAAAATTAAAATTCGATTTGCGTAATTATGATTTCTTATGCTGGCAGAGTGCCAGATTTTACATCAAATATTTAAGTGATATCTGCCGAAGTATCTGCTGATGATAAAAATGTTTTACTGATGATGATTTTTATAATAAACTATTCCTCCTAATGTAAAATTATTAGTTATGTTCATGATTTAAGAATTGAAGAATACTTGCTTATAATTTCGATGCCAATATAAACTGCAAGATGTGATTTTATTGCAAGAAATAAAGGTTTGATATCTGCAGGTAAACAAACTGATCTCTTGTGTGAAATTGCGAGATCGCACACGGACATGGTGTGCAATCACTCCCACCGACAAGCAATATTTAACGCGAAAACGTGCATCGTAGTGCCATCTAACCGACTATCTAGTAACGGCAGGTTTCAATTCAAAACACATTTTATCAAATATGCAACAAAGTTGATATTGCATGAAAATACCAATCATAAGCAATTTAATAATGCCTATCAAATCGCAATATTGCTTTAATTTATACTCCATGATATAATATAATAATATTATATTCACACATCGGAAAATTGTAAATTATGGAAGATTAGACAATTCTCTATTAGAAGGAAATTTAAAATAATTTAATTTAATGGGGTAAAAGGTATAAAAACGCGACTGAAAGTGCTAAAAATTGCAATTTTTCAATTTTTGACGATTTATTTTAATTGCGAATATCTCGTAAACTAAAAAAGCTAGAATCGCAGAGTCTTAATCTACGGACAATTCTCAATAAAATAAGCTGGTTAAATTGGAAATCTAGGAAATAAAATTTTAATTCATAAGAAAAAATTGTCAACGGGGGGTGCTCGATAATTTAATTCCACGATTTTTGACAGTGAATTTCTTCTAAACTAAAAGAGATAACAACCATAAATTAAAAATTATAATATTATATCTAATTTGCAATATTTCTTAAACATTTCCAATTAATATCAAGTTAGATTCTATTATACGGAACCTTGAAAGGTTCTGCACGTGGCCGATGATGCATCTCTCGTTGGTCGCGAAATTCCCAAAAGCCTTGGCATCAAGAACACGCCGCCGCGAATATAATTCATCTCGACATTGTCGAGCGCGCGCTCTCATCGAATCATCGCCGATCTATTATGTGTGATAATGTGATGAATAGCATTGAGAATGATTTAGAATCGTTGAAAACTTAAGCGTCTGAATCCTTAAAATGTAAACTAATAAATGTTAAAATGCTAAAATATTGGCGATGCTCGAAAATGTCATCAAATCATCGAAATGCACTTAAGGAAACTGTCTCGACATCTTCAAAATTGAACATTTTATTGCTTTTTAGTGTGTTTTGAGTGTGTTTTGAGCGGTTTAAGTATAATTTTATTGTGCTTTCAAAGCATAAATGTCTCTTGATGTTTGAATGCTTAAAATCGACGAAAGTCGAAAATATTTGCTCAAAATTTTACGAGATGAGAGAGTTTTAATGTTTTATTGGTGATTTAATTTAATATTAAGTCTAAAAATATATATTTAGCATGTTTTTATTTTTAATATGATACAATGAAAGCATTATTTTTACTTTTTTTGTTATATTTTTTAACGAATATTATAAAAATTTACCAAAAATAAATGTTTTTATTCTTTTTGGGCGCTTTTTAAGCATATGATATAAAGATTACCGCATTTAATTCAGTAACACAAAGAGTAATTCAAAAATTACAAAAATTTAAGTCGCAAGTTGAAGCTAGTTTTAAATATAAATTGCAAGAAAGCTGTTGTAAAAAATAAATTGCATGAAAAGTTAATGAGCAATTTATAGGTATTTTAAATTTTAAAGCTTTAGTACATTCTAAGTTTCATATTCAAACCATTGAATTTTTTGTGTTTTATTTATTTTTATCTGAATAATCACGATTGCAAAATAATTTTATGAGTTATAATTGCGGTGTAAATTACAAATTCTTTTTTATTGGATACACAGCTTAATTATGCACTCATAAAGTGATATAAATCAAAATCCTTATAAAACTGTTGTTTATTAAGCGATATTAATCCTTAAAAAGTCTAAATTTCAGAGTCAGAGTCTGTTTATGATTATTACAATTGGTCAACCAAATTTAACTAAATGTACGAGTAAAATCATACTAATTGGAAAATTGCGCTTTACAACACAAATTAAAACATAAACGACCCATCACCGTCACCAAAAGTCTTAAAACAATCAAATTAAACATAATTACCGTGTTTAAAATTTACAAATTTACAATTAATTAATATCAATTATTATTAATTTACGAAAGTATGGTGTCAGACTGAGTGCGGTTGTCGGTATTTCGCGATTGTTAATAATATCACGCAAAACTGGTCGGTGCGGTACTAAATTTTTCATCAATTAGCACCTGCTTGAATCGGTCGCGTCGGATTTAAATCCGCGCAGCGTCTCGCTGTCTGCGTTGCGATGCGCGCACAGACGTTATTTATGAGGAATTAAAAAATGCGTCAAACGCAAAAAGTTCAAAGCGTTCGGAGTGACCGAAACATTGTTCGAAGCAACGGTGTGTCGCTTCAGACATTGTGACGGCATGGAAACGGCACGGATTTTTTCGGATGGAAGACTGAATATTGAATATTTTTGCGTTCATGAATAAGCAAATTTGAGTTTTAATCATATTAATAGTGAAGATACAAGTTTAAGAATTGGTAGAAGTTTGGCGTGGATAATATTTATTTATGTCGCGCATTTACATTAAAAATTATCTTGTCGGTGAGAAATTGAGATGGTGTTATGTTTTGGTTTTTATTTATTTCGGTAGGTTTTTGAATTACAAATGAAAATTTTATTTTAGACATATTCTAATTTTTTAAGTTACATAGCTGCTTATTTAGAAATCAAAGATCCGCAGTAGTTTTTGGTATTTATTGTTAGATTTTGAAATAATTGTAATTTCTACTTTCGGGTATTAATAACTGCTAAACAAAATTTGTGTTAGTTACAACATTTATAACTCTAAAACGGCTGGATAGATTTTGATGATTCATGATTTGTTGGATTTGTTTCCGTTGGGAATAGCAGAAAAACTATTAAAATATCAAAAATTGTTACATACCGGGTGTTAAATAAAGGATCAAAATTGATTGATTGAAGATTCAATCATAGTTATAGCTAAATAATGGCGTAAAAGTGCATTATTAGCTATT